TGCTTTGAGTTTCTCACCATTTGGTGCGATGTTAGTTGTAGATATTTTTAGTAGTCTATCAAGTTAAGAATGTTCCTCTCTATTCCTAGTTTACTGTACGTTTTTATCATGAATGGGTGTCAGATTTTGTCAAATGCTTTTTCTGCATCTATTGATATGGTCATATGATTTTTCTTTTTTAGTATGTTGATGTGATGGATTATAGAATTGATCTTTGAGTATTGAAGTAGCTTTGTATACCTGGAATAAATTCCACTTGGTCTTGATGTAATTTTTTTTATGTATTATTGGATTCGATTTGCTAATATTTTGTTGAGGAATTTTACATCTATGTTCATGACAAATACTGGTTTATCGTTATATTTTTGTAATGTCTTTGTCTAGTGCTGGTACTGGGGTAAAGCTGGCCTCATAGAATGGGTTAGAAAGTATTACTTTTGCCCCTATCCTCTAAAAGAGATTGCAGAACATTAGTATAATCTTCCTTACATGCTGGAGAACCTGGTGTTTTTTAAAATAGTAGTTAAATAGCAAAAATATCCATTACTTTTAACTTATTCTGTCGAGGTTAAGACCAATACAAAAAATGTATTGCAGGTTCATAAAACTTTCTCAATTGGTATGTTTCAACTCTTTAGACTTTATAATGGAGAAAAATATTTAGATTTATAAAAACAATTAATATAAAGAAAATCCACCTTTGAAGTTGTTTGAATGCAGAGAGGAGGGCCTCTCTTCCATGTTTCTCCTAAACATTCACATCTCCTCTTTCCCACCAGTGTTCACCATGGAGAACTTATGAGAACAGGTGTCGGGGTGGAACATAAAAGGAGGTTGAAAACCACTGAACTAGAGAACATTCTCTTTACTGAAATAGGTAGTGAGACTGTTTCCAGCATGTGAAACATACCGAGTTATTCAGAAGAGCCGGAGGCCCCTCCCCCTTCCATGAGGCCTGCCTACCACTGGCGTTGCTCTAAGTCAGGGGAGCTACACAGGGCTTCCTCCAGTCTCTGTGGCACCTTCATGTGAGTTACTAAAAGGCACCCCTGAAATGTGTTGGAAAATTGTTGTAATATGCTGGTTTAGTTAGAAGACTCTTTACCCTGATGGACATTTGTCGTAATAAACATACAAACTCAGTATGTTCATTGCAGCCCCTTGGACGTGGTACCGTTGTGCGGGGCACTGCCTTCATGATCATGAGGCATTTGTAAGTAGAGGGGAAAAAAAAAAAGAAATCACCATGGCAACATTGTCTATAACCTGAAAATGAGAAACCAGATTCATCGCAGTCAGTGGCGGAAAGTCCCGGTTCAGCAGCTTGGTGGTGGAATGCCGTGGGCGGGGTGGGGCAGGGAGGGCGTTCATTGATGGCGTCCACTGCCGAGAACAAGAGCTTGGCCAGCGCCCTTCTGAGTCTTCCGTCAGAAAGAGCCTACAGATTCCAGCTACTTAGCTAAATGGAAAAGACTCTGTGTTTACAGAGAAAATACAAAGCTCCCTTCTTCCCCATCATTAAGCAGACCGAGCATACTTAGCAGAACTTTTCCACTTAGGTGTCCAAGTCAAGACTATCAGTGACTTTTGTTTGAAATCTAAACTTTTTAGAAACATTTCGTAGGAAAAACGACTCACAGGCCCTTTCAAAAAGAATCAAATAAATAGTTTGGGGGTTTCCATCTTGGAATCGGGATGTTTATGTAAGAAACTCTAATAAAGCCCTCTTTCAAGCCCACGAAAATTATAGTCAGAATCAAGTGGCGACTAAGGATCCAGGAAATAGCTATTGATTTGGGAAGGGGGGGGGGGGGCGCAGGGAGAGCCAGGAAGGAAGCAACTTGAGGAGAAGCTTTTGCTAATGGTTCTTATTTCCTCCAGCAGCGGTTTAAACACTCTCCCTCCCAGATGAGCCCACCTAGGCAAGAGGCTGGGCTTTCGTGGGCAGAGGCTTTGCGAAAAGGGACTTTTCCATGAGGGCAGGCAGGGCACTAAGGGAAAGTCCAAAGCCTTCAGCCCACGGAGCTGGGCAGAAACCAGGGAAGAGTGTAAGAAGAAGAGCCGACAAGGGCGATCCCAACTGCAGAGAGAGGTGTGCAGTGCAGAAGAACCCGCTCGGGTGCCAGGGACAGAGCCGTCCTCAACGTGCCCCGAGATGAGCCCTAGGCAGGGACACAGCCCTGGAAGAAGCTACACTAATTTGGACACCAACCTGCCTTTTTATGTCCTTTCCCAAACCTCCATGGGCAAGAAATCAGAAAATAGTGAGGGAAACATAATATCAGGAGAGTCAGAGAAATGCGTAGTGATATGTTATAAAAGGCAGCTGAACGTTCCATACAGAGAGGCGGGGGCATGTGCAAGTCTGTTTTGATCAAAGCGACGAAGCCGGACAAGCACCTGGAAGTCAATCTAGAAGAATAACGGTTCTGTAGTAGCCATGTTGGAGATCAAAGGCTCTGAACCATTTAGAAGAAAAAAGTAGCTTAGCAAATGCCAGATGACATTTCACAAACACTTTCTACCTTATGCTCCTAATTACTCTGTATAAATATAACCCTAAATCCATTTAGGTTGTCTAATAAGTGAACACTCAGCATTTCGTAGTTGCTTGTTTTCTGTGGTTTTTACTTCAGTGAGATAACGGTGAGAGGTTATGTATGATGTGTCCCTACTGCCACTTGGAGTGACTCAGCAGTGATATGAACCCTGTGGAAGTGTGGGTCACCCATAATCCCCGCCTGAGTGTCAGTGATTGTTGCGGTTAATGGGTGGCTTAGTTGACCGTCAGCTACACAGTCAGGGAGGTAGAAAAGGAACTTCCCATGGAAAGGCAGGCTATTAAAATGCGACCTTGCCAATTAGAGGTGGCTCAAAAATGACTTCAGTGACAACCAAGAAGATGAATAACTTTACCCTTTGGACATGGGTAGAAAATAAGGCGAAGAAACCAGAAACCTCCCCCCGTCTGTCTGCCTTGAAGGGTTATGAAAGCTGAAGCCCCTGGTTCTCAAACTTGGCTGCACCTGGGAATCACCTGGAACTTTGACATATCCGGTACCCAGACCACACCCCAGGACAAGCAAATCAGACCTCTGAGGAGGGACCTGCACCACTGTCCGTCTTGTTTTGTTTAAGCTTCGCAGGTTGATCCTATGTGCCGCCAAGGTGAGAACACCTGGCAAAATGAGACACTGCAGGTGTCTGGCATGCTGTTGGTGCCCAGTGAGGGTGAGCATCCTCCTCTCTGACTCATTTCCTGGTACCCACCTCCTCCTCCTGAACTTGCACAGAACAGAAGCGGATCTTAGTCTCACCACACGCATCACTGGTGACTTGCCTCAGAGTTGGAGAGTTCTTTTTATCTTCACATTGAAAGGGACAGAACTCTCTTCTCATTGTGTGTGTGCTGTTTCATTACTTATTTATACTTTATCTCCCTTCCAATATCACTGACCTTGTTTCACCTTGAAGCTCCAGAATCTGTGGATTTAGAAAGGTTTCTAGCCTCTGTGTCCCCAGAGTTTGAATTCGGCCAAATCTTCTTGAGCACTTTAGAAGGAGCAGGGTGAAAATCCAGCGTAAGGACTAAAGGAGGTTCCTAAAAATAGAACACAATTCATCCATTTCAGTCAAAAAGGCCTGCATGTTTTTCAAGCATTTTTGAACTCTTAAGCATTTTTAATAAGCTTACTTATGAGTCTTGTTGAAAAATAAATAAAATACACTTGTTTTCATTAAGGGAAGAGATCTTTTTCCATCTTAGTTGGACTGTCGAAGGAGACAAAAGGAGTCCCAAACTTGGCAAAGGATTACATCATTAGTGACATACTGGTCGCAGATGTGCTGGGAGTGCGACACTCTCTTCCTGTGATTCGTGTTTTACGTGCCCACAAATTACATCTGAAAGTCAGATAACCTCCTGACAAAAGGGAAGGGTATTTGCAAAATCTTCATTTTTAAGGCACTGCAGGTGTGTTTTTATAAACAGGCGTGTGACAAATGTTTGTTTGCGAATTACACTTGTGGAGCCGTCACGCTAGATGACGCCAGCCGTACTGTTATCCTCAGTTCCCACTGTTCCAGCAAGGGCAGCCCTGCAAACTACAAGGTTTCCTTCCCTTCGCAATTCTTCAGCAAGTCGGCGCGGCGAAACTCAGGAGGCAGACGGGACTTCCTCGAGCGACGGCGCTGCTTGACTCCGCCAGCCTTCGAAGCGGGTGTGAGTCTGGCCAAGCTGTGATCAGGTGCAGAAAGTGCCAGAGGACTTTCAGGAGGAGACGGACGCACCGGGGAGGGCCCAGCCCTTGTTACAGATGAACACAATCCCCGCCCCGAAGCTCTGAGTGCAAGGACGTCACGGAAGGAGGAGGTATATTGGAAGAGGAAAAGGATCAAGAAACACATCGAATGGACATAAAAACAATAATGACAAACTAAAGCTTTTATAAGACTTCGTGAATTTTTTTTGTTTTACTCACGTTGATAAGAAAACTAGACAAGGCAGTACTCTCCCAGAGGGGTGCCGGATGCCTCGATTTCCACCACGTTTAAATTGAGGAGCTCACCAGTTTCAGATGTTAGACTAATTGAAATTGATATGAAACTGAACAAAAGGGGGAAAGCAGGTGAAAAATTAGTGCGTCACCTATGTAAGAAACCGAATTCTGACCAAACGGTCAAGTTTCCTGACCTATAGGTAGAAGGTTATCTATTTGCGTTTTTCGTTCAGTAATAATATGCACTGTAAGAAGACTTAGTGATCTGATCATTGCAAAGACAGGTGGCTGTCATTCAGGAGCTGTGACACCCTTTGCAGCCCCAAAGCTATTCAATGTGCTGTCAAGGTAACGTCAGTGTCTGCTGCCTTGTGTGTTATTTGATTCTACAAGTTCAAGACATCCTACTATACAGCTTTTAAAAATAAACCTGTGGAAAAAAGACCTCAAGTTCTTTTCATTCTCAAAGTACCTCATTTCTGTTGTTTCCCATTTCCCTAGGAAAGTGACAATATTGGAGGACCCTGATCAGAACATTCACTTGAAAAACCTGTCTCTTCACCAGGCAACCACGGAGGAGGAAGCTCTGAATCTGCTCTTCTTAGGAGATACCAACAGAATGATTGCAGAGGTGAGCCCTGGCTGCTTTGGCTCAGAGGTTAGAGTGTCGCCCCGGGGACCAGAGTCAGTCCCAGGATCGGTTCTTGCTAGGGGCATGTACCTCGGTGGTGGTTTGGCCCCGGCCCCGGGTGGGGTGGTAACCACTCGATGTGTCTCTCTCACATCGATGTTTCTCTCTCTCTCTTCCTCTCTCCCTCCCGCTCTGTCTGAGGATAAATGCAAAGAATATCCTTGGTTGAGGATAAAAAAAAAAAAAGAATGATTGCAGAGGTGAGACACTCACTGCTCTGCAAGCCATTTTAACACATGTAAGGTACAATGGAATTGTAGAGGCAGCAACGACCCTAAAAATGAAGAGTCTAGATTTTATTTCTTGCTCGTTAATGAGCCAGGAGTCAAGTACAAGAAGCCAGGAGAGCAAACCCCTTTGTTCAGGGTATTAAATATTACAGTTCTGCATCAGTACTTTTCAGTAGACTAACTTCTAAAAATTGAGCTTATGTGCCACATATAATATGGAGTTAAGGACCTTTAAACTGTTCCTTTAATTTCAGGGAACACTTACATAGTTTTTAATTTCAGAATGTCTTGTTTTGCTTCACAAAATTGGCGTTTGTGTTTCGCTTCAGCGTTTTGCCCATGTGGTCACCTGTGGTGCTCTTATCTGTCACAACACTTAAAGATTAAGGAGTAAAGGCAGATTAAGGATCAAGGAGGGTGATGGTGAAAGATTTAGCATGCCCACTAAAAATCCCGTTCTTCATACACAGATTAATAAGCGTACAGAATATAGATGGTCCCTGCCCACCAGTGAAGTATGACAAGAGAATACATGCAATTGGGAAACTAAGTGGAGAAACCTATCCCTGCCCCATGCTAACCTCCTCCAGCAGGGACGCATCCAAGAGAAGTCTAGGCCTTGTCCTCCAAGTGCGTCCCCTCATCCATATGGGTTATCGAGGACTCCTGGCCCTTAAGTACTGTGACCTCTGCTGGCTTTAAAGCTTGGCCATTGCCATCTGGTTGGTTAATGTTGGCTGACTGCCTTGTTTCAAACTATTATAAAGTTTTAAGGACCTCACACTTCCTTTGCGCAAGCTCATCTGTGCTGCTGTACCACCTGTCAAAATCCCAACAGTCTTTCCTTTCACGTACTGATGAGTATCTAATGGTAGTATCAGTCAGCGGAAGCCTGAAAAGGTCCAATTCAAATAGTGCTGGTGTACATTTGAAGAAATTTATTCATTTTCCAGGAAAGCCTGCTTTTTAAAAACCAAATCTAACAGGTTTGGGATGTTTTTGTGCTTTTGTTTATTCATTTTTATTTTTTGGTAAGAATACCATGTTATACTGAGAACCTGCTCAGTAGACTTGCCAGTGCTGTAGACACTGTATATTTCTGTTGTTTCTGATTCTTACTTTACAGAGGAAACAGGCTCAGAGTGTTAGGATGCTTGCCCAGCGTCACACAGCTAGTTGGTTCAGCCGCAGTCTGACGGATTTGGAAGCTGGCGTCTGTCCTCACCCCCATTCACAAGTGCAGCAACCGAATTGACATGTGTCAAACTTCTCAGTGAGGATCTCTTTTTTAATTATTTAAAAAGGACAGCAAGTATTTAGCACTTGAGTACCTCTTGAATTCATTCAAAGCAAATACATAAAAATAGAAATGAAAAATAACTGTCAATCTCTGGAAATACTTTATTATTCAGTCTCTAAAAAAGCATGTTTTAGATTACAACCTAGCTGTCAGAATGTAATTTGTCAGCACAGAACAAGCTTACCGGGATAAAAAGAACACACTATTCTTTTTTTAAAAATAAGGTTCCCAAATTCCCATTTACACAGAGCCATCCAGAAGTTGTCATGGTAACAAGTAAACATTTGCAAAACAAAGTCTGCAAATGTAGGACATGAGTGGAGTGTTGTTTCCTTGCAGGGTCTCTCTCAAAGCCAGCATTTTAAGGAAAAGTTATCGAGATTAGCTTCATCCTCTTCTTACTTATTCAGAACTCTTAAATAATTTCTGCAATTCTACCAATGTTTTGACTAAGACCTGATTATATCCTTAGGGTAAAATTATTTTGAAGTTGAATTGCTGTGCCAAAGAGAATACATATATTAAAAGCTGAACTGTGCATGACCCAGTAGCAAGTATGACTGTTATCGGAGAAACTGGGGTGTCCTCTTTCCCACTGGGTGCTGGGAGTGGGGTCCTTATGGTATCTCAAGAAAAAGAATTTTCTGAGACTTGCACAAGAGGATGAGTGATTTTTATTTGCGTGGAATTACATCTGTGTGTTTCTCCAGTCTCAGTCCAGTCACAGACGAAGTGTAGCTGAGGCTTCAGTAGAGCTAAAATCAGAGCCAGTGTCCAGAGTTTCCTTTCCATGTTGTAGCCGGGTCCAGTTTAACATCAAGCTGGTTGTAGTCCATTAGTCCATTGTGTGTATGTGTGTGTGTGTGGGGGGGGTCCCCATGACCATGGGCCAGGTGGGCAAATGCCAAGAAGCAGAAGCAAGAGAGCCCCACCAACCAGGAGTCAAGAACAAACGAAGTGAGCACACCCCTTTGTTCAGGGCATTAAATATCTCAACTTTCTCACCCTTGTAGCGGCCACACCCATTCTGGCCAATGACCTATTCCCAGGTGTAACTGACAGGCAAGTACCTTCCCAACGGCACCCCAACTTACTGCACATGCGCCTGTCCTCCTCCCTGTTCAGTGCCTTCCCCCAGAGGTTTGCAGGGAATAGCCCCATGGCTCCCTGGGGAGTGCAAAGCTGAAGCTTCCTGGTGAAACTGTCCAAATGACATGCCTATAATAGTTGGCCTTCCCTCTGCTTCTTTTCTGTTACTAATAATGAGGCTAATTACAACAGTATTGACTTGATACTTTTTTGTCTTAGAGTTGAATGTTCCTATCAATTAATCAAGTTTAACAAAGCAAGACGTTCTTCATTTGATTGTCAGTCCCTGCACAGTTCCATAGCAGGGACCATTTGCTTGACCTGCCCACAAACTCAGCAACCTGTCCCCAAGTATTGTAGAGGATAACTTGTAATAGTGTATTGTGTTGTAGTCAAAAGACACAGTTTCTGGGACCCTGTTTCTGATCCGTGGATTCAGAATCTTGGCTGTGGAGCCCAGGAATGCATGTTTTACCTTTAAATGTTCTCAGGCTGAAGTTGGGAACAGTTTGGGTTTTCCCTTTAAGAAACTGTTTGAAACCTAGTCAGAGAAGTGTGTGAGCAGGTCTAGATGCTGCACCCTGGCCATCACCACTAAAGTGGAAAATTCTACCAATTTGGTGAGCAAAAAAAATCATGTTTAATTTGTGTTCTTGATTGCCAAATTCTTTTATATCTTTATTTACCATTTGCCTTTCTCTTTTTGTTTATGTCTTCTACTTGTTTTTCTCTTAGAGTGTTAGAGTAGGTATGGTTGACGTGTTGACCCCTGGAGGACTGGGATTTGGTCCTGTTCACCCTACAACCACTGCTCCTAGAAACAGAGCCTGATACATAGTAGGGGCTCAGTAAGTAACTAATGAAGGAATGAACATTTAAAGATAATAACTTTTTGTGTTTGTCATATATTCAGCAAATACTTTCCCTACTTTATACATTTTCTATTATTTATTTATTTATTTTGCTTTTTTTTAAACTAATTTATTTTTGTTACAGATGCTTCCCCCTTTTCCCCCATTGACGCTCTCCTCCTAATCCCACCCCCCACCCTAGCATTATTGTCTATGTCGATTGGTTATGCATACATGCATGTAAGTTCTTTGATTTATCTCATCCCTCCTCCCAGTCCCCCTCCTCTGAGGTTTGTCAGTCTAAATCATACTCCTTTCTATGCCTCTGGGTCTGTTTTTTTAATCAGTTTATTTTGTTCATTATATTCTACAAATAAGTGAGATCATGTGGTATTGGGCTTTCTCTGATTGGCTTCTTTTGCTTAGTATAATACTCTCCAAGTCCCTCCATGTCATCTCAAAGGATAAGAGATCTTGCTTTCTTACAGCTGCATAGTATTTCATTGTGTATATGTACCACAGCTTTTTCATCCACTCATCTATTGATGGACTCTTGGGCTGTTTCTAGATCTTAGCGATTGTAAATAGTGCTGCTATAAACATAGGGGTACATATATTCTTTCTGATTGGTGTTTCAGGCTTCTTAGGATATATTCTTAGAGTGGGATCACTGGGTCAAATAGCAGTTTCATTTTTAATTTTTTGAGGAAACACCATATTGTTTTCCATAGTGGCTGCACCAGTCTGCATTCCCACCAGAGGTGCACTAGAGTCCCCTTTTCTCCACACCCTCACCAATACTGTTGTTTAATGATTTGTTGATGGCAGCCATTCTGACAGGTGTGAGGTGATACCTCATTGTTGTTTTAATTTGCATCTCTCTGATGGTTAGTAATGTTGAGCATTTCTTCATATGTCTCTTGGCCATTTGTATGTCTTTTTTGGAGAGGTGTCTATGTATGTCCTCTGCCCATTTTATAATTGGGTTCTTTGTCTTCTTTTGTTGAGTTGTGTGAGCATTCTATATATTTTGGAAATTAACCCCTCACCTGATATGTTGTTGGCAATTATGTTCTCCCATACAGTGGGTTCCCTTTCCATTATGGTGCTTGTTTGTTTTGCTGTGCAGAGGCCTTTTAATTTGATGTAGTCCCATGTACCAATTTTCTTTTGTTTCTCTTGCCTTAGGTATTGCATCAGTGAAAATTCTGCTGCATGTGATGTTTGACATTTTGTTGCCTACATTTTCTTCTAGGATTTTCATGGATACACAAGTCACATTTAAGTCTTTTATCCATTTTGAATTTATTCTTGTGTATAGTGTAAGTTGATGGTCTAGCTTCATTTTATTGCATGCAGCTGTCCAATTTTCCCAACACCATTGATTAAGAGGCTGTTTTTACTCCACTGTTTGTTCTTGCCACCTTTGTTAAATATAATTGAGCATAATGTCTTGGGTCAATTTCCAGG